GGGGGGAGGGAGACTAGTATATATTTTGCTTTTATTTGTTTTTTCATTCAAGACTAAAACATTCTCAAAAATAGTTTAATTCTTTTTAGTAATGTAAATCTGAAATATTGTCTATCCCCTTAAGGACAAAAGGTCTTTTTCATTTTTTGCATCCATGTTATAATCCAAAATGAAAATTACTTAAAACCCCCAAACATTATATATTTTCTGAAAGCAACGGCCCCATACATTTAGTGAAAAATGCACTTAAGTTAAATGTAGTGCCCCAAAACACAATATAAAACCATTTTATTGTAAACTATAAAAGACGCGGTTACAATGAGTAAATAGATACCCAACCCAACACCCAAGTTAAAAATTGTGTGCGTCCGTGAAACTGCGACAGAATTCCGTACCCCCAAAGGTCCATAAACGACGCTTTAAAAGCCCCTACAGGTCATTAGTTTACAGATAAGTGTAAATATTGGCCCCAGACAATTTGTGGGCTCCAGCAGTGGTGGGTTAGATAAAAGACTTGGTTTAATATATTTCAAAGAGAATCACTGTACTAAAAGAAAATTCAGATTTAAATGTGATACAGGACGGTTACCTTGCACTGAATGGTCAAAGTGACAAAGTTTCTTTAAATTACTAACTCTAACTAGTAGCTTCTTGAATGTTTGATACAATGCCTTCTAACATCATACAATTGGTTAATGGCCGAGGCCTGAGTATCTAGGCACCACACCCCTAGGCTAATAGTATTGAAAAAGAAGAAAGGTGGGGCTTTAAAGACAATTCCAAGACAAATACGGATAAAAATCTATTTTTCATTTGAGATAGAATACAAAAATTAAAAATGATGATCACCAGACAGATAACTCCCAATGAATTCATTCCACTTGAATAGTTGGGTCAATATACATGATTGATTCGCAACAACAAACATAAATAACATGATTCACAGTGATGATATGAACATGATTGATCGGACTGATTCAGAATTGAGGGCGTCGCACAATTGCGGACTCACCTCAGTTCTGATCTAACCAGAAAGATGGTACATGATTATAAAATAAATAGACTCAAAATTATAAATTCAATAGGTACAGATAGATTCAAAGTGGAGGGATCACTGGTTACTCAACATTTCGCGCTCACAAAAGCGCTTCTTCTGGAGATAGAAAGTATCTTCAAGAGGTGCAGGTGTGCGTCAAAGCGGACCAGTCTGGGCAGAACCCACAATCGGGGGACAACGGGGCGAAGCCCACCATCAGGCAGGCACACAGCAGGAGGTAGGAGTCACACATTCAGAAGAGGAACCCATCCCATTCCTCAGCAACAACCACCCAGCAAACGTCACTGGACAGGGTCATATAACTCCACACCCCCAGAGCCACCAGCCTCCGACACAGCCGCACTAGAGCCGCACAACTAACATCGGCTTATTATTACCCATGGGTAAATTAATTTAAGTACTCTGTGCAGAAATCCATGACACACTAATCTCAAGACAATGGGTGCCATCTCTGTATCACTGCTGCTTTATACATGATTTGTGGTTTTGTTTTTTTTTGTTTTTTTTACTGTGTAAAATATTCTTTCTATTCCTTGTAAGTATCTAACAATAATGAAGGTCTGTTTTCCCTACAGGTAACATGGGCTGATTTCTTCTGGGATATCTGCAGTGATAGTATTGATTTTTATGTACCTGACTTTGCAAAAGATTACCCAAAGTTGGTAGCCCTTAGAAAGAGAGTGCAAGAAGTCCCAGAGATTGCAGAATGGATAAAGAGACGTCCACAGACACCTTACTAAAATATTCTTGTTATACTTCAGAGCCTAATAGAAATTCACAAAAATGGTACATATAAAAGCTGAAAGTGTTTGATTGAGCTTGTAATTTTCATATCAATCAACATCCGACAGATGACTATTAAAACGTATTCTCAAATGGAATGTATTGTGGCCGGGTTTGTATGTATTTACTTTATGAAAGACTACCAAAACCATTATAGTTTCGATTTTAAAATAGACACTTAGGGGTCTATTCACGAAGCAGCCGAAGGATCTAGCCGTAGCATCGGCTGATCCTTCGGCCCCAGGACCCCTTTGGTTCAGTAGAATCGAAGGGCTGCTGCACGGGCTATTCAGTATAGTACAGCTACCGAAGTCGGCCGAACTGCCCAGTCGAGCCAAAGGCATATGCAGAGAGATCAGCGTCCCTAGTTAACAGCTAACCAGGGACACTGATCTCCAGACAGCCCAACTGTCCCGGGTGCTCCGGGAGTCTCCCACTCCTGGCCGCCCAGGAGAGAAAAACTTTTTCCAAGAAAGGTTTACTCTGCTCGGTCCAGCAGAGTAAAACTTTCTCTGCTTTTTCTTTTTTTAAATTCTGACATGGAGCCGTTGGCTGGCGTCAGAATATAAAAAAAAATCACCATAGGAATGCATTGCTAGATTCCTATTGGCTACTTCAATTTGCAATAGCCAATAGCAAACTAGCTATTGCATCCGCCCACTGCTGCTGTCAATCAGCAGAGGGGACCTGCAGTTCTCCATCAGGTCCCCTCTAGTGATTGACAGCAGCAGAGGGTGGGTGCAATAGCTAGTTTGCTATTGGCTATTGTAAATTGAAATAGCCAATAGGAATCTAGCAATGCATTCCTATGGCAATTTTTTTTTGTTTTTTGACGGCAGCAGAACCGCCCGGCCAATAGAAAACAGTTGTGCAAAGATAGCTGTCACTGATAGCTCCACACAATCGTTTGCTATTTATTTATTTTTTCTGTTCTGCTCGGTACTATCTCTGGCCTCCCGGGTCAAAACAAATCCCACCTGATCATCCCGCACCAAACGTTGGATGTAAGGTGAGAGCCTAGTTGCCAGGATTTTCGCAAGCAATTTAAGATCAACGTTTAGCAGGGCTATGGGGCGGTAACTCCCACATTGTGCTGGGTCTTGCCTCTCTTTAGGGATCACTGCGACATGCGCCCTCAGGGAATCCACCGTAAAGTGGCGGTTCAGGAGAATGGAGTTAAAGGCTGTCAAAAAATGAGGGGACAGCTGATCCAGGAACCTCCGGTAATACGGGATTGTGAATCCGTCTGGGCCCGGGGCTTTGCCAGGCTTGGATCGACTCAAACCACAAGCCAGTTCCTCGGAGGAGATAGGGAGATCCAAAATCTTCCTCTCCTCCAAAGAAAGGGAAGAGAGGCCAGAGTTTTGGAGGTACAAGTCTATCTCAGCCGCTCGGGCCGCTGCTTCCCGTATAAGAGCATCTGGTTGCAGATTATACAATCTTTGATTCCTCTGCCATATCTTTCGAAAGCATAAGTCAAGAGCCCGGACCGCGTAGGGCCCGGCTAGGTACTTGAGTCCTCCTGCCCCACACGGCTCGCCTCTTCGCCCTCATAAATAGTAGAGCGTTAAGAGCCACGAACCTGAACAGCTCCCTGTAGGATGCCACCGCAAGAGATTTCTTATGTGTCACCTCCATTCCGTGTAGGCGGCGCAGCAGTGCTTCAATTTGAGTATTACGCTCCCGTTTCCGTCTCATGCCATGTTTGATAAGCACGCCCCGTATGACACACTTGTGCACCTACCACAGAGACAGGGGGTCGGCCAAGTCATTGACATTCGTACAGAAGTAGTCCGCCAAGAAAGCCGACAGGTCCGCGCGGATAACAGGAACCTGCAAAAGAAACTCATTGAGCCTCTAGGAGGAACACCTAGAAGTGGGAGCTAAGAGGTCCATACTTAACTGGATTGGAGCGTGGTCAGAGAGGATAGGAGAACCAATAGTGGCCGATAATACTTTAGTTAAATCCCCATGTTGGGTGAAGAAATAGTCAATCCTCAAGTAGGATTGAGGAACGTCGAGTAGTAAGTGAAATTCCACCCCTCAGTGTATAGGGTATGCCACACATCCATGACATGAAGCTGCTGGAGAGCCAACTTAAGTTTTCGAAGGTAGGGAAATGAGAGGTGGGAGGCACCCTTGGAGGTATCTACAGTGGGGTCTAGAGCCACATAAAAATCGCCACCCAAAATCAGAGTTCCTTCCCTTGACCACCAGATACCGACCCATCACATCTACAATTTGGACAACCCATGTCCAAGCCACCGATTTAGAGATGAGGATGCTCACGCCCTTAGACCTGGAGAGCGGGGACGCAGCGTGGTACACCACTGGATAGTCACGATTGACCAATTTGGGAACCGCGTCCTGTTTGAAGTGGGTTTCCTGTATGAAGGCTACCTGTGCTCCGGCTCCCCGCAAGTCAGAAAGCAGCCTAGATCTTTTTTCGGGGATATTCAGGCCCCTGGCATTCACGGAGTAAAGCGAAAGGGGAGCCATATCCCCCAAAAAGTGTATGGAGGACTGGGCGGCAGGTAAGAGGGGAGGGTATGGAGAGGAAAGAGGAACCAAGGAGTAGAAGCGAGATCAAGATGAGCAAGGAAAAGAAGGTAAAGAGTGTATAGGAGAATAAGAGCAAAGAGAAATTCGCTGACACTGACTACAGGTCAGCCAAAACCTTTAAGTTGCACCAACCCCTGTACAACTAGGGTGTGGACGTGTAACCTATGGGGGTAAAGTTGTTACAAAACAGTGGTCAAAACAGCAAGGTAGGAGATGCATCGACACGTCACCTCAACCTAGCATATTAGTCAGAAGCGTAATAAAATGCACTAGTCCCCATAAATGATAGCCAGAATGACCATGGGGGGAGAGAGCGCTGCTCGGCTGTACCCCTTTTCGGGGGCCACAGTGAAAGAGCAACACTTGACACCAAGTCAAAATCACTTACTTACACTGATTGCATTTAAACACTCATTCCTTGGTGTATTAGTGAATACAGAAATACATTCATTTGTGTATTTTATTACTGCCAAGAGTTCAACCTAAAGAAAATATGTTCTCTGTATAGGTTGTCTGTATTTTTTTTGTTTAAGTGGAAGATTTCTACTTATATTACAATATAATTCAGCATTACCAAGTACAAGTCCTGACAGTCGTTGGCAGACATTAGCTAATGGAGAGACAGTGACAAATGGATCCATACATACAGAGAAATATTGACAGAACATCTAATGGACACAGACAGCCTGACAGAGATCCCAAACATAACAATGTACAATTTAATGGAGTGGAAAACAATTCCTCACCATCTTGTATGAGAAAATAGCTACTAGAAGTGTACTACCCCTTAGACAGGGTGTTCAATCACCCACCTTTTAGAAACAAATACACCAATAAAGTGAGACAGCACAAAAAAAAAAGGAGAAGCACATAAAGACATTAAAGGCAATTTCTGACAAGACGTGATCATAATAGCTACCTTGACCAAACAGAAACATGATGCCCTGGTTTATTTCTCTCTGAGCCAGATTGAAACACTGTTCCACACTGCAGAGCAAGTGACTGAAAGGAGGTAGGATAATAAGAAGCTGGCCATACACCTATAGATTATCTGGAGATTTTCTATGGTCAGATGTAAAAAGTGCAACAGATTCCTCCATTTATTCTAAACTGTGTGGATACTGAAGCTTCAGTATCTTGCTAGTCGGCCCCCACTGGCTCTCAAAATACTTTAGCAATGCCTGCATCCAATCAGATTTTTCAGGTATTTTTACAGTCAGCAGGGCCAACTAGCAAGAAACTGAAGCTTGGCCCAATGGGAGATTCCTTCATCCACACAGTTTTGCGTATAAACCTTTAAGTTGCACCAACCCCTGTACAACTAGGGTGTGGACGTGTAACCTATGGGGGTAAAGTTGTTACAAAACAGTGGTCAAAACAGCAAGGTAGGAGATGCATCGACACGTCACCTCAACCTAGCATATTAGTCAGAAGCGTAATAAAATGCACTAGTCCCCATAAATGATAGCCAGAATGACCATGGGGGGAGAGAGCGCTGCTCGGCTGTACCCCTTTTCGGGGGCCACAGTGAAAGAGCAACACTTGACACCAAGTCAATGGAGGAGGAATCTGTTGCACTTTTTCCATCTGATCATAGAAATTCTGCAGATACTCTATGGGGTCTATTCACGAAGCAGCCGAAGGATCTAGCAGTAGCTTCGGCCGATCCTTCGGCTAGCTTCGGCCCCAGGACCCCTTCGGTTCAGTAGAACCGAAGGGCTGCTGTACGGGCTATTCATAGTAGCCCGTACAGCTCCCGAACTTAGAGGCTGCCCGACAGCCTGCTTCTGACAGCTGGGCAGAGCCAGCCGTCATGTAGGACCCTTTTCATTTTGCCATATTACTGTTGGATGTTATTTTTTTTAAATCAGATAGTTTTTATTGATTTTGCAAATTTTCAAGTAGGCAAACATATAAAAAAAATAAAAAAACAGGAAAAAGCCCATAAGAAAGATCAATCTAACAGACACATTAGATTGAAAAATAAAAGGTGTTGAAGGGGGGGGGGGGGGTAGGCTGTTCACTAGTGTGAGCATAAATGAAACATATATTATATCAGGCATATTATATCATAAAAAAATAATACATAAAGAACACTGTGCGGGGAGCCAACACCTGTCTCAGCTGGCAAATGGCTATATTTAGGAGAGGCCAGGTCCAGCCGCAGGTATCCCTATTGAGTATGGAGGCAAGCTGACTAATCAGAGATCTCTTGCCCTTGATACGTCAGCCAACTGTCCCAAATAGAGTGGAAACGGGGCAAGGTACCCCTCTGTTGAAAAGTAACTCTCTCGAAAGCAACCATCCTGTCAAGTTCTACTAACCATGAGTTCAGAGTAGGGGGGTGGGGGAGATCCATTTACGGACCACCAATCTGGTTGTGTTAAATAAGGCACGTTTAAATGCTATAGTAGTGTGTCTTGTAAGAACGTCAGATTCCACAATACACAGAA